ATGCTGTATTCACACTTCAAAACCTATTTACTTCTACAATCAAATCCTCCCTTCTTTACTGTTTCATCTCTAGTTTTTTACGTACTATTACTAATAAAATATAGATGGACTTCAAACTAACTGCTGTAAACCAAGTGTTTCCTCCTGTACACCCGATATCCTCCCTGCTGTAAGTCAGGCTGGCAGCTATACCAGTGGTGTATATAAAAGGTAATAATGTACATGGCCATTCCGCTCCTTCTTGGGATCATGAAAGAGATTTTTACCTCTGATCTTAAGCAACAATGTTCTAAGTGTCTCTGTTAATCAGCAAATAAATGAGGCCAGCCTTAAAGTACACACACTTGTGATGCTAGCAAATTATGCCTGGCACAGAACTCTGATACTTCCATGGGAAGCCTTTGGGACCATTGCTGTGACTACCATCCCAACATTAACTTCTGGATGTTTAAGTTGTGAATGTAATACATACTTTTCATACCCAGGATACTTATTGCACGTGTACTATCGTTGGTGTTTCATGAAACTAGTGCTATGTTTTCACAATGACTAGGAAGGCAATTGTCTGTGCCTTATAATGCTAGTTTGGAACCAAAAGAAACATTATAAAAGGAAAGGTATTATTCCTATGAAAATAGAACCTTCAATATGCCTTCAAACGATTCCACAGCCAGAGGGCTAGAGTTCATCTTCAGTATTTTGGGAGCTAATAGCAGCAGAGGTCAGTTTTTAATGAACCATCTGTTGAAGAGAGGTATTTAATATTTGTGATCAACACATCAAACTGAATAAAGCATTAACAGCTCAGAACATTTGCATCTTTTTATGAAAACAAGTTAGATGCCACTTTTGTTTAGTAATCAAGGCAAATATTTACTAAAACCTGCTACTTGTAGACACAGCAGTTGTTTTGACAGACCGAGAAAAGGCAAAGCAGGTCCAGACTGAAGGGAGCTTAACCACTGAGACGTTTTAAACTTGATAGAATCATTGCTAAGTGATAAATGCTACAGTCTAAACTGTTCCGGGGTTTTTTAAACACAATTCTTTATTGTCAAAACCAGCCATTTGTTAGGTCTCTGGGAAAACTGCCTAAGTCTTCTGCCTGCAACACAACTATTAGGAACAATACTCAAGTTCGGATCAGGTAAGTAAAGTTGTTTCAAAGATGATCACTGAAATGGAAACAAGAGTAAATATGATTAAAGAGCCTTTAACATACATGTCTTTGCCTCATTCTAAACCACATCAAGGCCATACCTATTTCCAGTTCCCTAAATAGCCACGTATGTCTACACTTCTACATTTCAATTCTCCCATA